AAACTGATTACTTTGACGCAACTTGCGCTTGTATTGTTCTATATTATCGCCTTTTGTAAGAAAGGAAAGCAAAAGGAAGTTTCATTGAACAGGGACACATGTTTGTTCTAGATTTTGATTTTGCTTCACTCAAAGTCCTGTTACAGTACACAGACAAAGAGACCCAAAGTACCAATCTGGGTTTTTTCCTCATAGATTCTTACTAAAGTGAGTCTCTTTCTTTTCATTTTTCACCTTTTTAAATTAACAGCTTAGTTTGGAATTTGTATGCAAACACGGGGGTTTCTTTGTGGTGTTTCAAATGTGTATGTTTGAGGGGAAATTTAGAGTTATTGAAACTACAAATTCAAAGCATGATGATTTTGATTATTTGTATATGAAAGCTGATGCTTGACAAGTGGGGATCAATTGTTTATAGTCAACTGAAATTTTGAATAATTTAAAAGTTGGAAATACAATTGAGGATTATATATTTGTGTGTGTGTGTATAGATATAGTATTTTCAGTTTTTGATTAACTGTGGATGAAAAACTATGGAGGGTTTCTTCCTTCTGAAATGCATTTCTGATTGCAGCTCATGAATCCAACCAAACTTTTTGCTGAAGATGTTTCTGCACCTCGGACAGATTGGGATTTTCGATACAAGCGAAAGGAACCTTTCCTGGAAATTCCTCTTTTTGTTTTTCATCTTTACTCTGCTTTTGTGTTTCGGGTCATGATCGTGTTTACGATTTGAATCTAATATACATATAGGCTGCACTAGAAACGAATTTGTTGGCATGGAAGGCGACGGGGATGCTGGTCCCGGCGGGTATACACTGAATTCAACGTACCTGGATGCTGCCATGGATTTGGATTTTATGGATGAACTCTTGTTTGAAGGATGCTGGTTAGAGACTAACGACGGTTTCAGCTATATGCAGCCTGGTCCTTCGACTTCTAATGGTCTTGATGAGTGTGATACAGTTCCTTTTAGTGCAAACTCGCATCAAATGCATCCCGGAGAGACGGAAACTCCGGTTTCTCCCCGTTGTTATAGGACAATAGAGGACCTTTCTGGAAGTCATTCACCGAACGGGACGGCTGATGGAAATGCTTCATCATTGTCGCAACCTGGAAGTTTTATAGTTCAAGGCACTGAGTTAGGCAGTAGATGGTGGATAGGGCCAAGCACAGAATCCGGTTCTTCTTCGTCTGTGAAAGAGAGGCTAATGCAGGCTATTGCATATTTGAAGGAATCTACAAAAGATGGGGATGTCCTTATTCAAATCTGGGTGCCAATAAAAAGAGAAGGCAAACATGTTCTTACAACCGAAGGCCAACCATATTCTCTTAATACGAATTGCAAGAGTCTCGAAATCTTTAGAGATGTCTCCAAATCCTATAACTTCCCAGCCGAGGAGGATTCGAAGGAATCAGTCGGGTTGCCTGGCCGTGTGTTTTTGGGGAAGTTGCCTGAGTGGACTCCCGATGTTCGTTTCTTCAAAAGAGATGAATATCCCCGTATTAGTTATGCTCAGATGTACAATGTTGGGGGATCTCTTGCTCTTCCTGTTTTCGAACGAGCCACGGGAACTTGCTTGGGTGTTGTCGAGCTCGTCACGACTACTCAAAAGATCAATTACCGCCCCGAGCATGAGCATGTCTGCAAAGCTCTTGAGGTCAAACTGTTGTTTTCTTTTTCATGTTCTTGAAGCTCTCCTGTAGTTTAATGCACCAACTGTCCCTTGTTTGTGTCATTTTTCTTCACTTCAATAATTATAACTTTGTTTTATGCCTTTTTAGAATGACTTCCCATTTTAGAAAAGAAAATTAAAATAAATTCAAGGAAAAAATCCTTCAGAAGTGCCAATCGCCAGGAATCTGTTTATAATACTATTCATTCTCTATGGTTGCTTGTTCTTTGTTCATATTCGGCTCTAAATAAATCGATCTTTTTGCAGGCTGTCGATCTACGGAGCTCTCCGTACTTCACTCCTCCCAATGTTGAGGTAAACAAATGGTATCTTAAACTTATATAGTTTCCAGTGATTTGGAATTTTATTATTTGTTTCCGAGACTGAAGGAAGTTGTCTATATTCTCAGGCTTGCAACGAGTTGTACCAAGCTGCATTACCCGAGATAGCCGAGGTTCTAAGATCTGTCTGCAAGACATATAAACTTCCTATGGCTCTGACATGGGCTCCATGTCTCAGTCAAGGTAAAAACGGATGCCGACACTCTGACGAGAACTTTTATCATTGCGTCTCCACTGTGGATGCTGCTTGCTTCGTTGCTGATACAGATTTTTCGGATTTCCTTGAGGCGTGCTCGGAGCACCACCTGTTCAGAGGCCAAGGTGTAGTTGGCAGAGCATTCACGACGAACAAACAATGTTTTGTCACTGATATAACGGTCTTCAGTAAGACAAATTATCCTCTCTCTCACCATGCTAGGATGTTCGGGTTACGCGGTGCTGTTGCTATACCGTTACAAAGCTTTTTTACTCGATCGGTTGAATTTGTTTTGGAGTTATTCTTGCCAAAAGATTGCGATGACAGTGAAGCACAAAAACAGATGCTGAACTCGTTGTCCGGTTTTATGCAGCAGGCTTGCCAGAGTTTGCATGTAGTTGTGGACAAGGAGCTCGGGGAAGAAGTGATACTTCCAGTTAAAGAAGTCGCTGTGTTAGACAGGAGATCAGATAAAGAAATTATTCAATTTAAGGTTTCTTCTCTGAAAGAGAACTCTCCGGAAGAGTCATCATGGATTGCTCACATGATGGAGGCCCAACAGAAGGGTAAAGGCGTTTCTGTCTCGTGGGAATATCAAAAGGAAGAACCGAAAGAAGAGTTCAAGGTGACAACCCATTGCGAAGACACTCAACTAAAGTTGCACAATAAGGAGATACTTCCGGATTTCCAGCAGTTTCATCAAAACGCTGAAACCAAAGCTAGCGTTGAGGGAGGTGGTGGCGACTCCGCTTCTACCGGTGGTCGTTACATTTCAGCTGGTAAAAGAGCCGGCGAGAAGAGACGAACCAAGATGGAGAAGACAATCAGCCTGGAGGTTCTTCGGCAGTACTTTGCTGGGAGTCTTAAAGATGCTGCTAAGAGTTTTGGTGGTAGGAAAATATTTCATTAGAAATAGGAGCCACACATTGTTACTTAATGATCAAAGTAACCATAGTTATATAAGTAATTTTACCTCGTAAATATCACTATTTAAGCATAAGCATAGCAGCAGCAATGTATCTCTTGAAGATAGAGATTTATTTAGCCTAGTATATATTGATAAAGGTGTTATATAAGTTCAAACACTGAAGTTCTTTACTGAATTACTGAAAAGTTAGTTTCGAATGTGTCCTTCGAACAATGGCAGGCGTATTGCCTTTATGATGTTATCGGACTGGTTTGTTCCTTTGCATTCTTACTGCGACGTTTCTGTCACCATTCAAATGCCTTTGTCATCCATGCATTAGCAGTTTGTTCCATTTGTCTCAATGAAAGTTGCTTAACAGAGTTCATTCTATTGCAGTGTGTCCTACTACTTTGAAAAGGATATGCAGGCAACATGGGATCACTCGATGGCCTTCTCGGAAAATTAAGGAGGTAGGCCACTCTTTGAAAAAACTACAACTCGTGATTGATTCGGTCCAGGGTGCTGAGGGTGCCATTCAAATTGGATCATTCTATTCGAGCTTCCCTGAACTTAGCTCGCCAAATCTTTCTGGCAATGGCCCTTCTTCGTCATTGAAGATTGGTAACTGTTCAAAGCCATCTGAACCTCTACTTGAGAACTGCATGTTCAGCCAAGGAGCTGCTGCTCCGAAGTCTCCACCTTCCTCGTGTAGCCACAGCTCTGGTTCAACTACCTGTCTCTCCACGGGAGCAAAACAGCATAATACGAGTACCGATGCCTTATGTAATGCAGATGGGTTGATGGTGGAAGACCCTGGTGGACTAATGAAGAGAGCTCATAGTCATGTCGAATTGCACTCGTTAAATCAAGAGGAGCCTAAGCTGCTTGCAAGATCCCAAAGCCATATAACATTCAGCGAACTTCAGACCTTCGAGACTCTGCCACTCTTGCCGAAAAGCAGTGGCCAGAACTTACGAGCCAGGGGTGCCTTTAGAGTAAAAGCAGTGTTTGGAGATATTAAGATACGGTTCAGCTTGCAACCGAGTTGGGGTTTCAGAGAACTGCAACAAGAGATTGCGAAGCGATTTAGCATCGAAGATGTCAGCGGAATGGACCTCAAGTACCTGGATGATGACAGCGAGTGTGTTCTTTTGACATGTGATGCTGACCTTGAGGAGTGTATAGACATACACAAACCATCTCAAAGCCACACCATTAAAATCTCCCTTCACCAAACTTCTCATCCGAATCTCGGAAGTTCATTCGGTTGCACTGCACCATTATAATAACGCCAAGGTCGTCATCAATTCCCTTCAAGCTTCCGGTGTAGGTAATCCGATGGTCGTGGTAATTTATTTAGGATTTATCTCTTATATCATTTGAAACAATCAGTTATGCAATCCCATTAGTTAATAGACGGAATCAGGGTACATGAATTTTATAGACTCTGCAATAAGAACATGTAAATTAGGTTGAAGCCAATAACGTTGACCAAGGATTGTGTTTGTTATGTTCATCGTATGTACTGTTATGCCTCGTTGAATTAGTTTATTACACTTCCTCATTATACAAGAAGTTTGAGTATGCCTCAATGCACGACTTTCGTACATACGACATCGCTTATCATAGGTTAATCGTACTTGCTTTCGAGAGGGGGAAGTGAGATTAGGGTTGGAAAAAAAACCCCGAGAATCTAAAAAAACAATCCGAATTATATAGTATTCGAGTAATTTATAAAATTTAAAAACGGTTATAAGAACCAAATTCTGTAACTAACTTATAATTAGTTTTAATTACTTGGTAGTGTAAAAACACTACGATACTAGAAGATGATGTGGCGAAGTTTTAAATAATCCATATCACCCTCATTCATCAAGATATCACAACACAAAAGCCATGCCCTACTAATTAAGGTAGCCGGAATAAATACACAACTTCTACATATTACAGGGACCGATTACATAATTTAACCAACACGTTGTATGTGAATCGTTGGGGTTAAGGATGATAAACGTTCAAGGACTTTGAAAACCAAGTTTTTGCAGAAATGACGGGAATTCTCTGTAGTCAATTCCAAGGTTATCAATTATATTTCTTAAGCAATATTTCTTGCGGGAGGACCCATCAAACTCAGCACCACCTGCAAATCAAATGAGCATTAGATGTACAAATATACATCACTGACCATTTATATACAATTATTTACTAATAAATACGGTGCGTGTCTAAAGCATAAGCAGATAAACAGTTGAATGCAACACATTAACGGTGTTTAGTAATGATTCTTATAAAGTTTTCGTTTTCATGCATACCAAAGTGCATTTATGTCTATAACTTTATGTTAAATATTTGGAAGATAAATCTTAACATATAGTCTATAGGACCTCTATACAACCGGTTGATGAATAAATATAACATTAAAACAGAATACTTTATGTATACCATAATGTTGATGAATAGATATAAGACAGTATTCTATTTTAGAATATAAGATTAAAAGAAAGACTGCAATTGGTTGTAACCCAAAAACTTAGTGAATAGGATTATATTTTATGTTGAAACCGAAAATATTACGTTTTCCATAGCAAATCATGTAAACTGCATAACTATTCTGGTTGCAATTTACTGTGGGTAACATTTTAAGTTAAAACTCGCTACAATTTAACATTCTCGGTTGTAATCGAAATTATTATTAATTGTGTAATCTTTTAAAATAGACAATGTAACATTTTAGATCAAAACCCGCCGCACAACAGAACTACCGGAATTCTACAGTTTACTTTTGGCACAATTATCTTCTGTGGCCGCATTTTAGAGATGTGCTATTTGATTTGATACTATTTACTATCGTTTTCTACCAACTTTTGGATGGGGAAAAACAAATAAATAGAAGGAAACAACTCACAACTGTCAAAACAAAACACAGCCTTGGCATAAAAACCAGTTAGAAACAAGTGGATTGACACAGACAGCAAAGATAATGGAGTCAAAGAGTTACAAGGGTACCGTTAAACTTACTGGTAAAAACACAAGCCCGTGCAAGAAACCGACAAGAACCAATGCTAAGTACATCTGAAAGTAATATACCTGCAGGAAAAACAAAAAAAGAGAGGAAGAAAGCTGGTGTATATATATTCTATCAATCAGGAAGAAGAGATAATTGAAAGATAAAAGGGAATGGTTAGAGACCACAAAAAGCTCTGATCTTGAGAAGAAAAGCACAACTACTCCTACAAGCTTCGTGAGGGTGATTCCACTGGTAAAAGAAGTGAAAATGGACACGATCAGTAACTCTTTTTCAGCAACTGAACACCAGCTAACTAATGGTTTTTACCGAGCGTCATAATAGGCGCACAGAAGAAGAGATAATCTCTTCAATAAACAATTAACTGGTGTATGGGTGGGGGAATTCTGTTTTTAATAAAATAAGATAATCCCCCCCCCTTCCGATCTTCAATCCCCACACTTTCCCCAAACCCCAAAGATAAATTGAGATTGTTCCTCAGATGTTCATAAGAGATAAATTTCAATAAAACAGCTCCAAAAAGGACAGTTAAATTGATAAAAAAATTATTTAGATTGTATACAATGTTTATCTAGTCTTCCAATAGCTATCATTGATACCACACCAAAATTGGGACAATGGAAGAACAGTAAACCTGAATACAGATGCTCCAATGGTACTAAGAGCCTCCTTCATTCTTTGATCTCTATTCCCATTACATACCTGTTTAAGGGAAATATAGAATTATGAAATTAATAATTTTAAAAGATAACAAGTCAACGTGCAATTCCTTCGTTAATATAATTTTAAAAGATAACACGTCGATGTGCAATTCCTTGGTTAATATAATATTTTCCTTACTGCAGCAGAGCATTTTCCAGAAGAACTAGAGTTCAATTGGAGGTTAAATTTGTCGCAATTAGGCAATATACAAGTTTCTTTCTTCTTTGAACTACAAATAAATCTACAGAAACCTTACATTGTGTTTGGATAAACAATTATAAAGGGAAAGTAAAAGAAAAGATAGGAAGATCAAGGAAAGGACAAAATACGTGTGTATTTTGTTTGGATAATTAAAATTAGTAAGGGAAAGGATTCGTTATAATGACTTTTTTCAATTATACCCTTTCTATAAAATTACTTAAAAAATAATTAAGGGGATAAAAAAGGTATCTCACATATTAAAAAAAATCAAATTTCTTACCTAGATTTCCCCCAAATTGGGGTAAATAAAACTTGAGTGTCTTGTGGGAAAGAAAGGGGACACTCAACTCCCTTTACTTTTCCTTTCTTTTAATAATTTATCCAAACAAGAGAGAGGTTCTTGTTTTTTTTTTTTAACTTTACTTTCCCTTCCGTTATTCCAATCCAAACATAGGGTTAAGTAGAAAAAATAAAAAATTTCCCACAGCCATATATGATACAAGTAACCCAGTTCCATTACCTACTCATCTCAGACTAAACTAAACTGAGTAAAGATTGAATACTGACCAAGAACGCATTTGCTATATGGACACAGAATTCAACGGCAATCCCTATCGACATGATAAGGTTCACGACTGAGATTGCATTGAGCTGAATACCCAGAATTGCCATTACACCCTGCAAAATTAGAGAGAGAATAACTTCCTTTCTTTTAGGCGAAAATATAATTAAGAAAAAGGACATGGCAAAAGTTACAGAAACTTTATTACATTTTTAATAAATAAAAAGTGGAGAAATAAAAAGGCTGAAAAGCACACACACTATTTTAAATGTCAAGGCAGAAGATATACCATGAGATCTACAACAATCATCACCAATACCAGTACAATGATGGCGGAAATCCACAAACTGCATTTACCAAACCAAAGAGGAACATACTAAAGTTGACATAATTCCAAAACAAAAGGGCAAAAAGAGATTAAGCACGCAGATAAAAAGTCTACAAAAAGGACCACAGAAAGAATTTGAACCTGGATGTGATAACCAGACAGACAATAAAAATAGCACCTGTAATTTAAGAAAACGTACTCGATGAACTTTTACATAGAGATTCATTTAATAAGGTATGCATGCCAATAAATACAGCTACTTCAGGAAACATGGTAAAAAATAAAGAAGGCACAAAGAAAAGGTAAACATAGCAGCCAATGCTAAAGAACAAAGCATCTCATAAAATGAGAGGAAAATTCAAATCTCTTGAGAGAATAATGATGAGAAAGATGATAGAAACTCCATATGTTAAAACATTTTCTACAATGCCAATACTTCTATAAACCGTCTCTGAATAGGTGAAAATGATTTTTACAAAAGAGAGCACAAAATATAGATGACACTAGAGAGAGCAGAAAACCAGTTGTTTGAAATACAACCTGCTTGAAGGATGCAAAATAATCAATATGGCATGCTGGAAAACCCACCTAGTGCAATAGCAATATTCGTCAAAGCAATCCTCCAAATATCAAGGTATTGCTCAAAGAAAATGTAGAAGACCGAATAGGGAAAGATTTGCATCTGCACCAGAGTAATGTCAGTAATGTCAGCAAAGAAGCAAACAGGAATTAGGAAAAATATTGTTTCAGAAAACAAGAAGTAATGGCGAAAATGTCAAACACAAAACCAGAAGCATGAGGAAGATATTTTTCAAAAAAGAACTGCGATCATATCAATAAACTAGTGGTTCTTTTTTCTAGAAGGTCTTGTTTCCTTGTACACATTCCCCTTAAAGCCCATTAACCAGGTTATTGCATTTCAATACAATATCAAATCTGAAGACAAAATATACAATCAAGTTTGGTATTAACATGAAGAATATTGTCATGGCAATATTCATGGCTTCATAACAAAGAACATAAAATGGGCTGAAACAATAAAAGAAGTGTTTTTGCCATCAGCATTTCCATGATTATCCCCTTAAATGAAAAAGTAAACTTACAAGCAACCACTTGATACAAGAGAACTTTAAAGCTTATCTAAGATCAATGGAGAACATAGCTAATCGAAACCTTTAGTGAATCAGAAACTCTTGAGCTGAACTCCCTTGCAGCTCGCAATGCATTAACATAGTCACCCTGAGGAAAATGATGAGATCAAGTGAAGTGGTGTGATTAACTAAAGTCGTACAAGGAAATAATCAAAAATCATATTGAGATCAATTAGTCAACTAAAGACATCGGCTTACTTGTCTGTTAACCGGTGTGTGATAAGTACGAAATTCTGATGCTTTTATAACACCATTTTCGTAACCTGTAAAGATGTATACAGGAAAGTAAGAAACGCCTTTTATTATCCCGTAAGAGCACCAGAAAACGATGTTTAATATACATAGGAAAATTTCCAATCTACAAACCATTCAAATCCACACTGCTAGTGTAAGCCCCATGACCACCTTTAGCACAATCAGCGGATGGCAGTGCATTAAGGAACCAAGGAAGCTTCTCTCTAAATTGCTCTGTAGATGGGCGATCATTAACCAGATCCGCGTGGCGGAAGCACTGGAACCAACAAAAAGGATTTTAGTGCTCGCAATATTTTTGGTTTGGTACTTGGAATAGACCTCCAACCTTAACCACTCAAATGCATATGTAATGGACCCTTTCTGAAAAACATTTATAATTTATATGCTACACGTAACCCCAAAAAAGACACACAAGGAGGAGAGAGAACAGGGACAAAACCGTTGTACAGTCTTTGCAGACTCCACCTAAGCCACAAGAACCTCCATCGGGTGAACAACAAGGTGGCTGGAAAGAGTAATATCTTGTTTAGCAATCCAGTTATAATCATCTAAAAGGCTCAAAAAGGTGGAGAAAAATAAACGTCATGTCATATAAGCATGTTATTATCGTTTCAGATCTCATCATAAGAGGGAATAAAATGAAATGTTAAGCTTGTGTTAAAAACTTTATATTAATACAAGATCCATTTGGTTAACATAAAAAGAAACTAGTAACATATGAAGTACTAACTTGATCATCTGGAGGACAGTAAGAGCCATTTGTAAACTTCCGACAACAACCAAATGCCTCTGGTGATAACCATACAAGAAAATCATCAAGCCATGAAGCAGCTGGCTTTGCAATGAAGCTTGATTCAGGAACTAATGATGCCCTTGATATCTAGCCAAAATGATAAATTGTAATGTTTTAGATAGGGAGTCAGAGAGAGACAGATAAAAATAATGCTTCAACCAACTCCAAGAAAGCCTCTTTCAACTTTCACACACTGTAATTAAGCAAGTTTCAAGCAAAGCAACATACAGCACAATGCTACATGCATAGAAAAGAACATATATCCCAGATTGTATTGATGTTAGCATTATATCTTATAATTAAAACTACTAGAAATTCATTACCTCATTCAAGAGAGAGTTAGAATCACACTGGTTGATGGAGCATAACTTATTTGTATCTCTTGATTCCAAGCTGAGCGGAAAAGCTCGTTAGATCAAACAGCCTTAAGGATTGAGAATAAAACCAATGATATAGAGGCATTAACAAAAATGAGATGAGAAGAATTTTCACATGTTTTCTTTTGATAAAAAGCTTTAGAACATTGTAATTAAGCTGGGATATAGGTAATTGACAGTCAACTCTACTCCAACTCCGTGAACATATTACCCATTAAATACTAAATTACCAATACCTTCCGGCTCGACATCACTCATTTTCATTGCAAATAAATTTTACTGTAATTCTTCTAAAAGTAATGCAAAATATAAAATAATTAATAATTTTTTTTTTGATAGGACAATTAATAAAATTTATATTACAACTATAAACTGTAATCAACTAAAAATTGCAATCCCATGAAAGAAACCATTCTGTTATCCATCCAAAGGTAAGGATAACGAAAATCTTTTTTTTTTTTTGATAGGAATGAAAGGCCTTCACCAAAATCCCCTACTTGATTAAGGGAGTTTAGAAGTAAACTCCTTAATCAGCAGAGGGAGGAGAAGAGAGCCTTAGAAATTTTATTAAAATAAAACAGTAACATAAGATACAACCACTACTTCTACAAACAACACATAAAACTTAAAGACTTCTAGGCCAGAACCCCACTAAACAAAACGCAGCAGCTAAAACAGCAACAACAGTCAACCAATTCCCTCCTTAGCTAATTTATCTGCCTCACAATTACAGCACCTAGGAATCCATCTAACAACAACCTGTCTAGCAGAAACAGAAAACACGATGTCCTTAACAAAATTAGCCAGAAAAACAGGAGAAGAAATGCCATCATTAATCCATTCCACTGCTGTCTTCGAATCACTTTCAATGATAAGCCTACCCTTCGACGCCCAACTTTAAGAAATAAAGAAATCAATGCCTCTTTTAATTGCCTTTAATTCTGCTAGAATAGGAGTAGCTGGACCGACTTTCTCTGAAAAAGACGCAAGCGTAACCCGATTCCAGTCCCTTAGAATACCCCCAATACCCGCCAACCTCCGCACACTACTAACAGCCCCATCCACATTCATCTTAAAAAAGTCTACTGGAGGAGGAATCCAGCTCAACACAGTGTTATTCCCAGTCTTATGAGCAGTAAGATTGTCCGCCAGGGTAGGATCTCCAATAAGAGAATCCACTTGCAATGTGATTAGGGGAAACTTAGCCAGGAACCACTTTGCTAATCTGAAACGCACAGTAAAAAACAAAGAAATTATGTCCAACTTTCCCTTATCAAAGATGATCTCGTTTCTAATCTTCCAAATAGACCAAAAAACTACCCCTGGGATAAACTGCCAAATCACAGAATTAGGCCTCAATACCTCCCACGAACTAAGCAGACTGGGAGGGTTAGAAGGAAGCGCTAACCGTACACCCCAGAACCCTATGAGTTTAGTCCACAGAACCCAAGAAACCGGACATGAAATAAAAAGATGTTGAACAGATTCTTCCTCTAAGTTACATAACGGGCAAAGAAAATTATCGCCTATATTGACCCCCCTTCTCAACAATTCAACTCTGACAGCAACTTTTTGATGAGACAGTTGCCACAAGAAAGTCTCCACTCTAGGTGGAACAAACCCCAACCAAACACATTTATTCCACTGAAAAGAATCATCATGAAAAGAAGATAGAGCTTGCCTACAAGCTTTAACCGAAAACAGCCCATCGTCCGAACCATCCCACAGCATACAATCGTCCATAGTCTCGATAAGTTTAATGTCTTTCAACCTATCCAGAAGCTCAACCAACTGCATTGCCTCCCAATCACAAAGATTCCTCCTAGTCGTAACATTCCAAACCCATCCACTCAATTCAAAGCTCCCAAAATCAGCAACGTGACCCAATTTATTGGATGAGAGGACAAAAATTCTCGGAAACAGCAGTTTCAAAGGGACCTCACCAAGCCACGAATCGTTCCAAAAGGAAATGGATTTACCATTACCTATTTGAAGCTTTGCATGAGACCTAAGACAACCTCCAAAGGATAACGAAAATCTGAAGTTTCATAATTTTTTGCAGCAAACTACAACCCCGTAAGGGATAAAGAACTGATCCTGTAATACAGAATTACTCTTCCTTCAACTTAGCTTTTCTCACCCAAAGGATCAAAACTCGATCAATCATGTCTAAATTGTTCATGGCTTAGGGTATGCAGTCCAGTCAATGGCTGACCATATATTTAAAGCCATGGTTCAAGGCTCCTGAAAGACAGTAGCAACAAGGACCTAGAAAACCCACCTGTTTTCCTTAGAGCTTATAGAGAGAGACTGATTTTTTTGAGGAAGAGAAACATTCAACCTCATGCATCAAATTCTGACTCCAACATCACCCATTTTTAGAATTTTCTGACTATGGAGGAACTCGAATGATTTTCCCGATGAGAATGCTTTCCTCCTCACTAAAGGATACTAAAATCAAAGTTGAGTTTAATGAGACAGTATTTTTTTTATAGGAATAGGAGGCCTCATTAAAAACCTCCCTCTTAGTTGGCTCTTGTGAAAGAGGCACAAGAGCCAACTAGTGGAAGGACGAAAAGAGTGCCTCATCTTATTGATAAACCATAATTACATAAGATACATCTTACATAATAAACATCCCTAGATAAAATACAGAACAATACAACAATAAAACTCAACACCTCAACCAATCCCCTCCTTAGCTAGCTTGTCTACTTCCCAATTACAACTCCTAGGAATCCAATTAATAATAATACCCATAGCATATACAAAGGCCCCAATTTCCTCAACCAAAGAACTAAAAAACGTTGGGGCAGAAAAAGGCATCAAGATCCAATCCACTGCTTTTTTACAATCACTCTCAAGGATTAGTCTTCCCTCAACTGCTTTAATGAGACAGTATCACAAAGCCAGAAAGAAAACTCAGACCCGATAATCAGACAGTTGAGGTCCTAGAAATATAAGCCTAATCCTCATAGAAATGTATCCATTTCAATGCCCCATACACGATTATGGAGTTGACCAAAATCTGACAAAACCCCCCACTAAACAGTAGCAAGAATGGAACTAGCATACATTTTATCTACTGTTCGTTCTTCACAAATGAAATTCCTAGTTAAGATCATCTTCCACACCTAGAAGCAGATTCTTATGTATTTATGTTACTTGTTAGGATCAAAACTCAAATATTTCGCCTCAAGCAATCACAGTTTCTTCAACATGAAGAAGTCAAACTGTCTTTCTATCATATCTCAAGTTAGAACTCCATGTGAAAGAGGAGAGAGAATTATCGCAAAATCTCATGAAAGTCTATTTTCATGCATAGAAATGTTCATCTAAAGTACACTAATTTTTTCTAAAGTACACTAGTCTTTCTATCATGTCTGAGATATCCGAGCAAGGTTAAATCATGTATCCCGGTATCATGCACACCATTTTAGGCAATGACATTTTTCACTTCTAATTCACACCAATATCACATGATGACAATTACTAGTTTGAAAACAACATACGCTACTTACGGAAGAATTTGGTGGAGGGGAAAGTAAGTATCAAACTGAGAAAAGAAGAATGACATAATATTCAAATTGATACCTGTAATTGTAATCCTTAACAACAAAATACAATGGCGGTCCGATTCTGAGATATTCTGAGATATTGGTGAAATATCCCTAACACAATACAAATTGGACTGTGAGATTGACAAGGAAAAAAAATGAAACTCCAGAATGAAAAGGAAATATCAAAATAGATGGCTTAAACCTGAAGATACGAGTCCCGAGGAAGAACAATTTGTTGCTCCAAACCAGGCTCAACCCTTGTGGAAAGGGCCTAAAACACAAGTAGAAAACTATCCATATAATGAAATATCAATTGGGAAAATAGTTGACACAAAATGCAGGCAACTTACTATGCTTGCCAAAGAAAAAGCAACAAAGATGGCAATTACTACCACTTTGACAGCCCAAAGTCCAAGAAAGGGTGCATGTATTTCCTACATTATCAAAAGTTTTTGAAAGTCAACATGAAAACAGATAATAGGCCATATAGCATTTGATATGAACATTCATTAAGAAATTCAGTACTAGTAACTTTGAATATCTTACTTGCATATATCTTGACAAAAGTTCAGGTCCTCTGGAGTCCAAGGCTGAATTTATCAAAATGGTTGATCAGTATGAATGCTGAGTTACAGAGTAGAAGAATGTTCACGTTAAAATTTTGAGTGTGCTTGGTTGAGTGGGAAAGCGAAAGGAAAGGTAAGAGGGGAATGGAAAACCGGAAAGAAAATAAATTTTGAATCTGCTTGGTAGGAAGGAAAAGTAAGAAAGGAAATAGGAAAGTTGACCTTTTTCTATCCTAATGCACAAAAATAAATCATTACAATTGGAATGATAAGATGAGAGAAAATGAGAAAAAATGAAGTGTGCATTTTAAAGATTATGCATTCTTTTTTCAAAAATCTTCATTTTCTATCCTATCATTTTTCTACTCTATCAAGCAACGGATGGATGGATTTTTTTCCCTTTCCTTCCAAGCACAACAATTGAAAGAAAATTTATATTTTCTTTCATCTTCAACGTTTCATCCTTTTAATTTTCTTTCCAACCTCTCAAGCAAAGCCTTAGAGCTGTACTAGACATTCAAAGCAAACAATACATGATAAATTCATAAAAAGATAACCTTCACCAGGCTCTTCAGTAGATGACGGAATTTTTATGCATGGAAAACAGTCAATCCTGTTATCCTCGGCTCTCAGACAGTCGAAAACTATCAGTGAAACAAAAGCAGTAACTTGTAGGAGGAAGTCCAGCAAAACAGCCACAGCTAACAAAAGAAAAACAATGGAGGCATAGATATTAATGTCAAACCAGGAGTTGATAATTTGTTACAAGATAGTGGATGTAGGAACAGATCATTTCACCTGCAAACAGGGAAAAGACACGGCAAGCTGGCATAGGAGTGAAACCTCCAACAGCAAATGCAAGAATCTCAGACAAACTAGCTAGTGTTATGGATGGACCAACTTCAACCATTGCATTACTGATTCGCTCCTCTAAAGGTAACTCCAATGGTTGCCGTTTTACGGCATGAACCAGTATACACATGTTATCCACTCCAACCTGATTAAAATAAATCGCACAGGAAATGAAAGAGAACTATAACAAAGAACTAAGGAAACCAAAAACACAGTAATCACTGTCAAACTCTAAATGAGGAAGAAAAAAAATAAAGTTTCTAAATAAAAAATCATATAGAATGTCTAAATGGATGTATAGTTTCACATTTAAAGAAAATACGCTGCAAAATAGAGACCAAAATATATATTTTTTTTTTGATAGAATAGAGACCAAAATATAAAAATGAGGGATATACATATATATATGAAAAAGAATGTATTTTTAGTAACACACTCTTAAAAGTTTTTGTTTTCTAAAGTGCATTAGAATGGGAACATGTCTGCCCCACAAATCGGGAACAGAGTCATCATAAGAACACAAGTTTCAGTTTCAGGATAAACGAACAGAGTCATCATAATAATGTTTTAAATTAGTAAAGCCCAAATGTGAGAAACTCAGCACCTGTAATGTCTGTAAAGGATTTTTCAACAAGGGAGAGGGGGAATAGGGGTGAACTCAGGACTAATTATAATCTTGGATGCAGATTCTATCACATAAAAAAGTAAAGAAAATCTGATTGAAAACTTACAGCCAAAACCAAAAAAGGTATCACTTCCATTATGATCAATGTTGACTTAACCCCAAAAGCACTGAACAACCCAACAGATCCAAGAACGGAGAGCATGACAAGAACAACTCCTGAGAGACCAAGCAAGACCTGCAAAACAGTAGGAGAATGGTGAGTTACAGAAATTTAATATTCCAAATACAAGAAAATTTATTTAATTTCAACAGAAAATAGCATATGACAAGAATTTATGTTACATGGACACGACATAGACAAGTAATATACAAATGTTCGCATTACCAAATTTCTGTCTTTGTTGATGCATGTACCCATGATAACATGAGCAAATGCATCTAGGAATACCACAGCACTGGACACCAGAAAGTTAAACACACATATGTGCTTTTCTGTATATATGATAGCCCATTGGGTTTGAACTACACAATATTCTGGCTTTCTACAATAGGCAGGGAACAATGGAACCCTGCCTTTTATTTGTATCTGAAAACCTAACATGCAAAAGTGAAGATATAGATCATGAAATTGAATATATTGGATAGAGCACATTTGTAAAAGCAACAAAGTGTATTTAAATCAATTCAAACATTGAGATCATCATGAAAAGAAATGGATATGTAAGTAGCAGTAGATGCGAGAGGTGTTAATAAACCGAATGTATATCGGGGTACTTCACATTAAAAATATAAAAAATAGTTAAAAACTTAAGAATATACCTTGGATGAGATATAGACAGTAGACAAACGAGGTGCATCACCCAATGTGATAGATATGTAAGCAAACATTACAAGATAGCTTACCTGAAATGAAACTAGATTAGGAGAAAAGCGAAGAGGAAACAAACAAATAATTGTCAAGTATAAAAAGAGAGAGTTAGAAATAACTGGAATCATTTGGAAAAGTTGACTGCTGAGAAAAGAATAAAGCTAGTAACTTGCCACAATTGTTATAATATCTGCAGTGCTCTCTCTTTTCAGTTCTTCCTCAATTGAGCTTTCAGATGAAAAGGAAAGAGACAGATTTCTAGACTGAACTAAAGGTAGCAGCTCTTCCTGTAATGTCCATATAACCATCCAAGAGTAAGTAAGACAATATCTTTTTCAGTGTACCATTATAGCAGTTCCTCCTAATAATCAAGACAATACAATATCCACAGACGAGAATATAAGAAACTAGGGTTGCGCAACGCTACTGAAAATCAAACCAAAATGTGGTATTTTGACAGTTTATGATACATAAGTTTAAAAACCGTGATTACCTGAATCGAATTGAATTCTATTCTATTCTATTTGTAATTTATTTTTTATTTTTTTATAATGTAAAGATAAATATTTTATGTTTCAAATAGTGAAAATAACTATAAGTTACTATATAAGAATCATTAATTGTTTTTATTTACTTGAAAAAATATATTTTAGAAATGTTTATGGAAAAAGATTTTGAAAATTTATCAAAGAATGTAAAAAAAACTGAAACAAAGCTATTATCTGAAAATAAAGTTAGAAAATCAAGACCCAAAATTAATATGAAAAAAATCGAGAACCAAACCGAGCCAAACCAATTAAAATGGATGGTTCAAAAAATCCAAGAAACCCGACCGAACCAAACCGATCTCACCCCTCTAAGAAACAAATGTGCACTTGTACCTTCACTAACTGAATAAAAGCTTTTTCCCAAGCCACTGCCTTCCCATTCCCGTTGCCTGCTTCATCAATTGCATTATTAACTGGGTAGGTTACAACAAATGCAGAAGCCTGAAATTGAAATGAAATAGTATTAAAAATTATATATATACTCAGTATGGCTGTAAATGAACAGAGCATTTGACAAACTACTCATGAACAGTTTTCGTATGTTGTTTGTTTGTTAAGCTAAATAAAAGAGTTAAACAAAAAATTTACATTCGTTTATTAAACAAACACGTTTGAGCAGAGGTTTTTTTTGGTTCGTTTATGTCCATAAACTAGCTTGTTTATAAGCTCGTTTACTTAAATTTGATATTTTTCATATAAAAGATACTTTAAAATATCTATATTTGTTTTATTTATAATATAATCATCAATATTTATATTTGATTATTTTATATCTAAAATATAAGAATTATGTTCATTTATGATTTGTTTGTTTATTATTGACAAATAGATTTTTATTTGATTGCAAACATGTTTAGTTTACATGTTCGTGAACATTAAATGAACACTTTCACGAACATTAAACAAACGAACATGAACACACATAATTTTTAAATAAGCAAACATGAACACGATTCTAAAATTATTAACGAACCTGAACCGAAAACGAACAAGCTTAAAAATAAACAAACAAACATGAACATATGTCCATTTGTTCAAGATTGATTCATTTAGATCCCTAATACTCGGAACGCTAAGACAGGATAAAATATTACCTCAGAATAATTGATCCCAGAAAATCCCCCTAACGCAGTGCTAGGATCAAGTGGAGCCTCAAATGCGCTCAGACATGTCTCTGAAGAAGTGTAATGCTGAAAGAGGGGGGAAATGAGATAAAATTGAAGACATTTTAGGCATCCCGGTGAGAATCATCATAAATATAATGCCAACTATAACAAGCATCAGCTTTCCTAACTTCAAAGAAAATTAACTCTGCTAAAATGTAACAGATATTTCACAGGTAAAAGTGGCTGGTTATGGTGGGCCTCAAATGCTTCTGTTTTTCCATGAGCAAGTCCTATCTATGAGCAAAATGAAAAGCCCACACATCATGACATGAACTTTGTCTTTTTAAACAAAGCAATCAATGCCTATTCCTGCCCTTACATTAAGGCAAGAGCCTTACGCCAATTGACATCATAATAACAAAAGCAACATAGAGTTAACTTAAACAATGAAATAAAAGGGAAATGAGAAGGATGGATTCAATTGGAATAGAATGCCAACAGGGAAACATCTGATTTCTTCCATGATATCCTCTTATCCAGATTAAAAAAATCAAGTATAATTATGCACATGCAGACCTAAAAATACATATACATGGAGCCCAAAAATAATTACCTGAAAACAGTACTCAGCATGTGTAACTCCTCCATAGTTTTCAAAGTTTTCCCGATCCATCTTGAAGTACTAGCGAAAGAGGCCAAGTAACAAAAACAAAGATGATTATGTTCTAGTAAAAGGAAAAGGTAACTCAAATTCTATTTGCTTAATTTCGAAAGGCATTATAGATATCCTGAACCAGGATCCTCAAAAATACAAATGCAAGAAAACCTGTAAAATACTCTGAGTAGCACAATCTTGGCCAAGTGGCTTCAAGCAAATATCAGTAAGAGACACATTCAAACCAGAATAAATTGCACGAAGTCCATCAACCTGTCCAAGATCAGCAGGAACAGATAAATAAGATGAAGCAAACAGAAAATACATGTGAAGACATAGTTCAAGTAAGATATACTTCAAGCAATATCTCACTTATATCAATGACTCAGAAAAGTAGCAATGAGTGTGTACTGTACCTTCTCTTGAATTTCAAAAAGCAATTGGATGTTATCGTCTGACACTATACTGGGGGACTTCCCTTGTGTTTTATCAGGCAAAGTTGCTAAAATAAGCTGAAAACAATCAAGTTTAAAAAAAAATCATTGCTTTCATATAAACTTAGGTGACGTCTCAATTCCTTTAAACTGAGATAAACAGACAAAGAAATAGACAGAGAGACATGGATAGAGTATTAGAGAATTAGTGTTCAAGAAAATATATATATTTATTCTCAAACTTCAACTTTTTGGCACAGAGAATTCAATCAAGTCAAAAGCTTGGGGGAAAAAGTATATTTAGATAAACACAAAACAGTTGAGATATGAAATTAAACCTTGATGCTCCGACATACCAAATCCTTTCCTTAATGGTGTTCAATCAACAAGTAATTAGATACACAGCATCGACCACACAGCTTATGTAATTTCTGGATGACAAAAATCCCCAAAATATGCATTAATTTTTGTATAAGTTTGGCTTTCTAGGTTCCTCCACTGAGATATCCTTTGTCTATTTGACATTTAACTAGGCATATTATGGCATCTTATAGAAAAACGCACTGAGATGATGCTTAAGCTTAATCCTCACTGCTTTTGTCACCTATGATACTCAACTTTCTAGGTTCCACTGCTCAGATATTCATTTTCAATTTGTCATTTACTGAGGCATATTAAGGCATCTTATAGCCAAACACACTAAGATGCCAACTAAACTTAATTATATTTAGGATTGTCAACCTGTAATCCTCAAAACTTTTGCCACCTTAATTCCAAATCCTATCTTTCTAAAATAATATTAAGATAAAGTCCAAAAAGGAACAGGTAGCTTAGGGAAGGCAAGAAATGGTTTCTCTTATCTTGTATACAGAATCAAAAGACAAGCATTTATTCTTTTCATTATTTCAGGAAGGACGGGGATTGAATACGGAGAAACAATTATATCATAAATGAAATTAACCTGTTCAATTCTGTAGAAAGGTGCCAGGTGACTGTCAAAAAACTGTTTCTCTTCTGCTGCCCTACTTCCATGGCCTACCCACAACTATATGATAACACATGTCAAGACTTTATAGTATGCAGAAGATTAATGGTATAAAGAAAACAGGAAGTATGATGACACACAAATACATGTCCTCACAGTTTATCCAAGGAGCAGTCAATACCAAAAAAATACTTCAAACACCTTTTCGTCCAAACATTTAGGAATGGGAAATATATATGGCAAAACAATTTTCCTTTCCCTTGTTTTAGAATCTATATAAGAAATTGAGCAGACAGATGAAAAAGGTCTAATATGGGCTTAAAACAGGAAGGAAATAGAAGTGCAATGAATTAAGAAAATAGCTAATTACTAATAAGAAACTTTTTCTAGTAAACTGAACCTCACACCTGCCCCAACTGATGAACTAGAGGAAGAGAAAGAAAGGTGCAAGAATAAGGGTAGAACTAACACATTGATGGTAACTCACAATAGTTTCTAGCATAAAGATGAAACATGATACCTTCTCTGGCCTTGTCTCCACTTCAATACGAATGAGACCAAAACATAGCACAATAACAACTGCCAGTGATGAAAACAATACAAGAGTAGGATTTCTAGCAACCCATATTCCATAACTCCTGGGCATAGCATAACCAAACATTTAGAACATGCTAGACATTTAATCATCTAGATACATATGTGCGCATGTGTGTATTTGTGTGTAATAAAATCTAACTATGTACATGTTCACCTGTAAAACCTCGACATATATCCTTGAATAATAGAAAGTTGCGCCTCATTTTTCAGTTGTGAAGCCACCCCACGTCCCTGAAATCAGGACAAACATGCACATAAACATCTAAAGCTCAAAGACCACCTAGTTCTTTTCTAGGAGGAAATATAGCAAGCTGAATAAATATCATATGAAGATATTAAAATAAAGAGGAAGATGTTCATGGGAAAGAAGGAATAAAAGAAATATTTAGAACATAACTAACAGATTGCTATTTTTATCAATTAAAATATTGTAGAAAAAAAAGAATACCAATTGCAACAGCAGTAGCAGAAACTGTTGGAACTGTTAAGTTTTTTTTTTAAATCAAAGTTACTTCTTAGGTACGAAAAAGGTAAATGTCCATTAATGCAATTATCAAACTCGCCATACCATGAGAATGTCCAAGTCAACAATGTACTAATAAGAGAAGTAATAATCATCACTTACCTCCAAAGCAAGATTCTCATCATATTGCATGTTAGACAAATTTGCTTCATCTTCATCTATTGACTTCAGTAATGGTTCCCTGTCGGATTCAAGTATTCCTTCTCGTTGCCGATGAAACAATGCCCATCCAAAAAGTCCCAAAACCAATATGATATATGCTATAGCTAATGCAAAGTCTATACATCTTACCTGCAAGTGACACTAAATATCACTATATACACCAAACATATATCAAAAAGAATTTCACAAATGAAAATTAACCGATTCAGCCATGACAACTAAGTGTTATGCAGTGTTTAAACTAAAACTAAAGCAAATGTTGTCAACTTTAACAAAAGAAAAGTCATCAATTAGACCTTAACAGGCCCAATAGTTATTGAGCAGTGATCTTTTTTCGGTGGTGAAGGAGGTTCAGAATTGGAGCATTGAGGTGATGAAGGGCAATCACCACAAGAGCAGCCAAGAGTGGTGTCACCACATGAATAAGTAGAAACGTTCATCAGCCTCATTCCAGATAAGTCAGGAACAGTAGACTTGAAATCAATAGCATAAGGTGAACCAGGAAATCCAGGAGGAGCTTTCTGACCAATAAATTCAAACCACTCTGAAAAGAATCGAAATATCAATAATATGCTATTGGAAAACAACAGAAAGTCACAAGTAGGCAAGTGAAAAAATATTCTACGAAGGATTTGGCTGGACCCCACATAATACTGACCAAAGTATCTTCAGTTATGATTTTAGTTAGTTTCATAAGCAAGATGAGAACACATTGCTTCCCAGCAGCCAAATGCTTTTGATGTGACAAGAACCATGACTTTTAAGGGTATAAGTAGGCAGCTAAAAGAATATAAGTCAACCTCTATTGACTCAGAAATACAAGTTGTTCAATGTTTTCACAATACAAATTTAGCATTGCTTCCCAGGAGGAGCTTTCTAACCAATAAATTTCAGGAACTTTAGAGCATGGGGAAAGACTAGATATTCCAACTCTATTTGCATCCATAGGTTCAGTACAGCCTGAAAACTGACATAACTGCAAAAAATGAATGAGACCAACCTATAATTTATTTTCTTTCACCACAAATTTAGCAGAAAAAATAAACAAAAAGTCCCAAGAGGAAATCCAAGCTTTTTCACAAGGCATTTCCTCCAAGCAATGAAGAAATAATACCATTTTATTATAAACTTCCTCTGTACTGCTTAATTCACTCAACATCCAAACCACTTCCGTTTCTATGCCAATTTTGTTGATTCAAAAAATATAAAAATGCTTAAATCAAAATTTAAGAAAATATATATGTTATACTCAGCTAAAAAAGATACCAGATAATATCTGGCAAACTGTTTTCACAATATAAAATTTTTCAGCCATGCACAAAACTTAAATTAACCTTTAAAGTTTGTTGCCCCAGCTCCTATGAATTCAATGGCTCTTGTATTCATGGTCCCAAACTTTACCTCCTTGCAGGAGTCATAAAGCCCTTCTCCAAAAGCATCAGATACAAAAAAGTCGATGCCATCCACTGTTAAGTTGCCATTAACCTGAGAAATTAATAATACAATGTGAATCAGTTAAACAAGATTGAACATAGAAATTGGAACCCATCCTAAATGTTTTATTAAATCCAACCACTTGATGGAAATCATTAGCTTTGAAGCATGAGAGAAACATTGAAAACAGGAAGTACGTTAAACCAAAAGCAAGGTATGGGTACTGCTCATCATAAGCCTGTCCTAACCTCTGAAACAGAAGTCACATTGATGAATAGACTTTGATTAGGAGAGCATGAAAGCTCGCAGAAGAGATTTAAGAAGTTCCTCAAGCACGCTGGACAACCAACAAGGAAAGGAATGGCCTGACAAATAGCATACATTTAGAACTAGTGTGAGAAAAGCAGCACTAATGGATACAAATACAACAGATAAGCTACTAGCACCAAAAAACAAACTTGAGCCTTTTCCAGAGACATCATCATACTGTTAGAAGTGATAGCTTATCAGCTCACTATTTGTGGTGAAAGAGTACTTGTGAGTTCAAAATATGTACAATAGTAACGGTGGTACAAATTTGATTTTCAGCTTGAAATCTTGAATAAGCACACACATATTGTAAAAATAATAAAGCCAGAGGTTTTACCTGCTGAACTTGTGCCCGCAATGTGTCAAATTGATCCTCTGTGCAACAAACATTACCGCTTATTGATGGACACAAGCTTTGAATTTTGGCAGAAAATAGATCATCAGGCTGATAAGGCACAAAAATAAACATAAAAGTATACATATAGTGTCAGAAGAACAGCTTTGAATTTGGGCATAAAACAGCTCATCAAGGTGATAAAGCATGAAATAAAGATATAACAAACAAACATTAAGTAGCAGAAGTTTATACAAGAAGGGCAAATCAATCAGAGAAAATAAAGCAATAAAAATGTAAAATGGACAAGCATGAGGTAGCTCACCTTCACAGATGGCGAACCATAAGGGCAATTTAGAACTTTCCCATCACTTCGTTGTCCACATATATCATACATTGCACAATATTCTTTAGAATGCCTCTCCCTGACCAACAGATCAGGAGTTTTTCAATTCAAACAAAAGAAAATGAGACAGATAATACTGCAACCTTGTGGCAAGTAAGGTGTTAAAGTGGCCATAAGATAAGCTCTTAGTAATTGCAGGACCTTGATAATATTATTGAGGATAGGCTCAATGAACTAAACATGCAGTCCACAAAAACTACAAAAATGTGATCTAAAAAGCTGAGAATTCTACACAACACACATTAGTACATATATTAATAAGACGGGAAATATTTAACACTGGTTATGCTCTGGGACTGAAAAAGTCTTACCCCAATGTGGGATAGGAAACTGAACGGCCACAAGAATCAGTCTTTCTCGCGCACAGTCCAGGTATCAATAAAATTACCTAGAAAAAAAAAAGCAACAATTTAATTAACACGAAGTCAGTAGGACATCAACGGCTTCTAACTCAATTCTAAGGTACTAATTTTTTTGCAAAATCTGATGTTCAAAGTCAAACGCAAGTCGATAAAGTTTCAGCTCCGTTTGAAAGAGCCATCTTTTTTTCCGCCTCAAATCAAACGATAAGCAGATTACGGATGACTAAATAACCGAACAAACACCATAAACAGCGCAATACCCAAATGAAAAATCTCAAGTAGAAGCTCTGCAAAGCCCCAATTCAACAACGTTATAGTAAAGAAAACTATGCACTTAGAAAAACCAAGTGATCCATGATCACGATATCATAAACCCCCTCCCCACCCCCACCCAAAAAAAAAACTTAAATTCAATCAAAAAATGTTCAGGAAACAGATGCTCACGAAATAGGATCAAAGAGCGGAGTCTTACCTGTAGAAGAGAAAAAACAGCGAGAAAACTGGGAAACTTCATCCTTCAGTCGAGAAGAACGAACAGTCGAGTGGGTGTTGAGTTGGGATTTAGTTGAAGAAATTTTTCGAGGAAATATAGCAAATGTTTTCCGCAATGACGTCAATAGGACGAAAGTGAGGTTGGAAATTGCAATTAAAAGAAGAAAAATGACTGTATACAATCGTTATTAATACACTTAATTAACACAGGACAAATTAAATAATGTAGAAAATTGTCAAATTTTCATTTTTCCCCCCATGAAAATGCTATTTCCACTCTGCGCTACCGGCAAAAAAAGAAGGTAGGAAAAGAGAATTTTAATCGTGGGAACTTCTTATCATCAGCCACGTTAGCCTACGTATGTCTTAACTCTTAAGTAACCACACAATTAAAACTTTTATATCCCTCACAACAATCTTTTTAAGGATATTTTGTTTAGGTAAACTACAATTTTCATCACTAAATGTTGATCTTACTCTTATTTTAGTTATTAAACTTTATAAATTTTTAATTTGATCACTAAATTTTTTAATTACTTCTTTCCTCTGCTTTAAAATACTTAACAGAGTTATGATTAAGTATCTATCTTTTAAAAATCATGAAATGGATCAAAAATATTATTCATTTAAAAAAATTGATTTTTGATTGCTTTTGATTTTGGGACGATGGATTATATTTTATCAAAATCTCAATGATAGAGAAGTAGAGAAGGATGAGACGATTTATATATTTAGATTTTAAGTTGAAAGGATGGTGAAATTTATAGATAAGAGTAATATGAATTTTGTAAGTTTTGGTTTAGTGTTAAATTTTACTAATTTTAAATTGAATGATACGAGATGATCATATGATTCATGAGTTTGTTGATATCTTGAATGGTTAGAAAATATATCAAAGAATGGTAATTATAGCACAAATCAAATGACCTCAGTAGTTAAGGGATTGTTGTTATCTTTTGAGGTCTTAGGTTCAAGCAACGCGTATGCAAGTATGTATGAACATTTATTATCAAACGATTGAGAATCTTTTATTCCTCTTCTATCCTTTCTGACTTTTATAAAAATGGTCGATCTTATAAAACGTACATAGACTACGTTTTTTTTAGATTTAGTCAATTTATTATAATTTTATCATTTTCTAATCCATTTATTTTCTAAAAGTGTATTATCAGTCCTGAGGGTAATTTTTTTCTATTAATTCCTTCAAATATTTTAATTTAAACTTATTTTTAAAACATAAGATAACACAACATATACATATGGACATTTTTGTTGGAGAAGTTATTTTACACATTTAAAAAGTAAATATTAAATGTATAATATTTTCCTAATAAGTATGAACCGAGTGATCTTGGTGGTAAAAGAATTATAGTTATTTCTCGAGGTCTTAGGTTCGAGCATCATGAATTCCAGAGGTATAAGTGTTCAATGTCGAATGGTTGAAAGTTTTTTTAAAACATATAATACCTTATACTTACTCCAAATTAATAAAAACAAATTGAACCATAGAAAATATTGCAATGCATATGCCTCACTAGCACATATTTAAACTATAAAATATATCTATTATTAGACCTTCTAAACAATTTGAACTATAAAATTAGCTAAAAATATGATCTTTTGTAAAATCTATTCTTGATGCTTAAAATATTAAATTGATTATTTATACAATCTCAAGATAAAAATACCTTATAAAATTAAAATTACTTTATTTTATAATAAATTATCAAATCACATATATTTTTTTAAACAAGGACAACTGAATTTTATTAATAAAAACAATATAATGAATCATAATTATAACACACCCAATTGTAAAGAGGAAAATAATAACAATAGTCACACAAAAATTTTATACAAAAACAAAAATATTAAACTCAAAGATAAAAAAAACAAAACTTTAATTTGAGAATGACGTCAAACATCAAAACAACCCAGTAATTTTCATAAAAACTCTTTATATATGTCGAACGAGACGTTTTACGAATGATAAAAGAGTGGTGAGTGAACCAAACTATCTCTCAGGTTGTTACGCTATACGTGACCACTAACAAACTAATTAGAAAACAAATGTCAAAGTCCTTATGTAAGCACCAAGACAATCATAAAGGTTCTTGAAAAACGTACTAAAAGTCATAAAGAACACGTCACAAGAGAATATAAAATATGTGTCATAATAGCAAAGAAAAAATATCACAAGGATATAGATTATTATTCAAAATTGTAAAAAAATAACTTAAAAAAAGAAAACAAAAGACATAATATAAAAAAATAAGAGAATTAATAATCATCGATGATCGATAACTACAATTAAAATTAATATCGCCGTCAGTTAAATAAATATAAAAAAGAAAGAAGATAAATAAAAATATAAAAAGAAAATCTAAATTAAAGAGGAAAAAAAAGCATATTTAGTGGTGGTATACAACTACTAGAAGCAAAGGGGATATTGAAAAAAGGCCAAAGGGTCGTTACAAAAAAAAAAACATATGGAACGAGAGATCTTCGACACAACCTCTCTCTAAAGAAAGATAATCTAAGGTTAAAGAAATATATTATAAAAATATTAATATTTTTTTTCGGAAATGTTAATATAGGAAATACGCTACTGAAAATGTTATCTTTTTCTATCGAAAATGTTATCTTTTTCTATCGAAAATGTTAATATGAAGCGCTATCTAAAATGTCTTATTTTACTGGAAATATTAATATAGGTAGCGAAATTAATATTTTCGATAAAAAATAACATTTTAAATAACACTTTATCAAAAATATTAAAAAAATATTAATATTTTCGGTATCACTTTTTCTTAACCTTATATTAGATTGCCATTAAGAAGAACTACCCAGGTTATATCAGGAAGAAGCTATGCAAGTTTCACCAAATTAAATGTTTTTGTTAAAAAAAAACGTATTATAATTATCTGCAAAGTTACAGTTTTATAAAACAAAAAATCAGTAAAACTCCAAATATATCCAAAACACAAAAATCAATATAAGTAATACCTATATTGATCCAGCTCATCTTCGATATCTATAATACCATCATACTCCTAAAATTTTTAAATTTAAATATTTTTTATTAAAAATTTAATTTCGTACTATTAAAATTTTATAATTTCACACTTAAATTTTTAATATAATATAAGTTTTTAAACCCTAAACCTTTAACATAAAAATTTATGCTCATACTGATAACACCAGAGCATAACCATTACAGGAATCAATAAAGGTTGCGCCAGAGTCAGAGTAATACAAGTTAAACAAGCTCTTTTCGATATTCTGTTAATGTATATTATCCCAGCAAAGAAAAGCAAAAATCTGGCTCACTGTCTATGGAGCCAAAGGGCCAAATAAGAAACAAAAGTACTCCATGTGGCATCACATCTTTATTAGGTTACATTGGGGAAGACCAGCATTTTATAAATTATGCATTCTTATGCAGTTTTGGGCTCCAGAGGAGCCTGGTCTCCTGATCACACTACCTCCGGTTCTTGTTGAACAGGAACGCAAGGTCTCCAAATTGTTTCCGTTCCCACATCCATGAGTGCAATGCCCTTTGCTTGTAAATCAGCTCTCATCTGATCACTTTTCAAGAAGTCCTTGTTTCTTCTCACTTCGGCTCTTTCATTAATTACACGAATCACGTCATCTTCCACCAACCCAGCTCTCGTTAATGCTTTCTCCTTTAATTGCATCAAAACCTGTTTGCCAGAAAATCCGTCTTTAGTGTTTAAACTTTTACAGAAGGTGTGAATCAGTAACATCAGGCAACAAAGCCAAGCCCGTTACCTCGTTATAAGAGTAAGGTGGCTGCAATCCAAGGACATCCAAAACTTTTGTAACTTCTTTCTTGACCTCTACAAGGGATTGAATTACCAATAACCTTTGTTGCTTTTGCTGCTTCTTCTGTAAAATTACAAGGGAATATAACGTATCTGCCTAGGCATAAACTTATACATGCACAAACATTTTATATATATGTAAGAGAGAGTAATTAGCACGCATGAAGATACACAAATACCTTTAGCATGGTCAACAAATTGTTTACCAACTTCAATGCTTCTAAAAAGGCTCCAGTCAATATAAGTGAAGTGCTCAAGTCATCTGACATTTTCGTCTGGAACTCATTTTGGAGCTTGCTAATGCACTCCTTGGCGTCCGGAGTAGTCCGAGCTGGTTTGCCATCGTTGGGGATTTCTTCTTTTAGTTGTGATAGAGAATCTTGACAATCTTGCAAAGTCTGCACAACAAAGCGGGTAAAGATACTTGTCACAAGGACTTTAATCTTAAATTAACAGGTACATTGGCCTATGTCAGTGAACTAAAAGAACTTGGTCTCTCGGGTCAACTCAGAAAAATAATTATGTATCATCACACCAAAAGTCAGTCAGTCTTCTGAGTAATTTTTAACCTGAAGGACAGGCAATTCTGCAGGTAGTGCGAATTTAATCAATTATAGAAGAAATCTTAAGTGGTAAAACGAAAGAGAGGAGAGGTGGGGGGGAATATCAAAGAAAGCTGAAACTCCGATAAATTGAAAGAGGCACACTCATGCATCCATGACAACTCACATGTATACAAGTAGACAAGTCAGACAAACAAATATTAAGCCTAAAATGCCAAACCACTCTCTCCTGAGTCATCTGAACTCTGACCAGCATATGCCTAGCAAGGAAAAATAGCTAAGTGCAATACCTGGTATATGTAAAAAATAGCTTCCGATGCACCTTCCAACTGAACCATGGAGTAATTGAGAGGAGAACGATAGTGTGCATTAATCAAGAAGTATCGCAAAGCCAGTGGGTGATATCTCTCAGTAATCTAAAAGAAAATACAAATTAACAAACAAAAGAAGCTCGGATGAGAATACTTCTGTGATTGTCACTAAGGTTATCAAAAACATAATAAGCCCAAACTTTACCTGGCGAATTGTGAAAAAGTTCCCTAATGATTTTGACATCTTCTCATTGTTATTAGTAACATGCCCATTGTGCATCCAGTAACTTACATCACTCTCTTCACATGCAGCACAACTCTGAGCAATTTCATTTTCATGGTGAGGGAAAATCAAATCAAGCCCACCACCATGAATGTCAAATTTGAAGCTTAAATAATGTGCACTCATTGCACTGCATTCTATGTGCCACCCAGGTCGTCCAGGTCCCCATGGGCTGTCCCAAGATGGTTCACCAGGCTTCGCGGCCTGAAACAAT